AAATTGAACCATCCGTTCTGCCCTACCATTGGCCGCCGGATGCGCCGTCGCTGTCAGTGCGTGTCGTATGCCTCGTTCCGCTAGGAATTTTTCGAATTCCAGCGAGGTGAACTGGGGGCCGTTGTCTGACACGATGACATCCGGGAGGCCGTGGGTTGCGAAAAGCTTGTTTAAGACCTTGGTTACCGCGTCTGTTGTGGTGGTCTTCATGTTGCTTACCTCCAGCCAGTTGGAGTAAGCATCCACCGTGATGAGGAATGTGTTCCCTTTTGTGGGCCCGGCAAAATCTATATGGAGTCTCGACCATGGCCCCCTGGGCGTTTCCCATTCTAATATCGGTGCTGCGGGGGGATTTGGTCTGGTTTCTTGGCAGCGCGAGCACTTGGCTACCCAGGCCTCGATCTCCTTGTCCATACCTGGCCACCAAGCGTAGCTTCTGGCCAAAGCTTTAGTCCTCACAATCCCCGGGTGCCCTTCGTGTAATAATTTTAATACTTTCCCTTGCAATTTTTCCGGTATGACCACCCTGTCCCCCCATAGCAAACAACCTTTCTGTAGTGACAGTTCTGTTTGCCGGTTTCAGAATGTCCTGAATGCTTCATCGTTGTCTTTCTCTGGCCATCCCTTTTCTACCCAATGTAATACCCGCGCCAGACGCCTGTCTTTATTAGTCTCTCGGGCAATGTCTGACGCGGTTATGGGTAGATCGGGCAATGTCTCTATGCTGAGGGTGGTCGTCGTGGGAGCTGGGTCGTCGCCTAGGTCGGGAAGCGGTGAGCGGCTCAGCGCGTCTGCATGGAGATCGTCTTACCGGGTCTGTGTGTGAGCCAGTAGTCGTAGGCGGCGAGGAACTCGGACCACCTTGTCATCCTGGGGGATAGGATGTTCGGGGTGGCCTTGTTCCCCGCCAGGATGCCCAGCAGTGGCTTGTGGTCCGTTATGATGGTGAATCGGCAGCCGTAGAGGTACTCGTGGAACTTCTTTACCGCTGCGACGATGGCCAGTGCCTCCTTGTCTAACTGGCTGTAGTTTCTTTCGGGTTTGCTGAGTGTTCTCGAAAAGAAAGCGATGGGTGCTTCTTTTCCGTCCGGAAGTGTATGGCTGAGGACGGCGCCGATGCCAAAGGGTGAGGCGTCGCATGTGACGGCGATGGGTAGGGTCTCATTATACTGAATGAGGACGGCATCCGAGGTGAGCAGGTCTTTGGTGTTCTTGAATGCGGTGTCCTCCCGTTTCCCCCAGGTCCATTTGGCCATCCTGTCCAGGAGCCTATGCAAAGGCTCCGCCGCGGTCGCCTTTTGGGGCAAGAACACATTGTAAAAATTTAGCAGTCCCAGAAATGCCTGCAGCTCTGTTTTGTTCTTGGGTGTGGGGGCTTCCTTTATGCCTTTGATTTTGCTTCCGGTTGGGTGGATGCCATGTCGGTCTAGGAGGTACCCCAGGAACTCGACTTGCTCTGTGCATAGCTGGCATTTCTCTTTCTTCACCTTTAGCCCGGCCCCTTTGAATTTTTCTAGTACCTCCCTTAGGCGACCCTCTAATTCTTCCTGGTTGGCTGCTGACACTAATACATCATCAAAATAGGGGACCACCCCCTTGATTCCTCGCAGCAGCCTCTCCATGAGGCTCTGGAAAATTCCTGGGGCCACGCTGACTCCAAACTGGAGTCGGTTACAACGAAACGCTCCCCGGTGGGTGACTATTGTTTGCGCCTCGGCGGTTTCTTCATCGACCGGCAGTTGCTGATAGGCTTGCGCCAGGTCGAGCTTCGCAAAGACCTTGCCCCCCCCCCCAGCGAGTGTAATAGGTGTTGCACTACTGGGACGGGGTAGGCGCTTTGTTGCAGGGCGCAGTTGAGGGTGGCCTTATAGTCCCCGCAGATCCTTACTGACCCATCTGGCTTGACTGGGGTGACTATAGGGGTCTCCCACCAGGCATGGTCGATTGGCTGCAAAACCCCCTGTTTGACGAGCTTGTCAATCTGCTCGTCTATTTTCTTCCGGAGTGCAAAAGGCACCCGTCTGGGTTTTAGGCGTATGGGGGCGACATTTGGGTCTAGGCTGAAGGAGATAGGGGGCCCTCGGTACTTGCCTAGGGTGCCGTCGAATACTTCTTGGAAATCCCTCGCCAGTTGCTGCTCCCAGTCGGCCTCTGTGGTGTGGTTTATTCCCATGACCTCGATTCCGAGTGGTGCGAACCATTGGAGTCCTAGGAGGCTGGGTCGGTTCCGGTCCACGATAGTCAGGGGAAGCGTCGCGGTGCGGTTCTTGAAAGTCACCTCGAACTGTCCGGTCCCAATGACGGGGATGCGGTTCCCCTGATAGTCCTTGATGATTAGCTTCTGGTTCTCCAGTCCTCTTTTCTGGATGTTTGGCACCAGTCGCTTGAGTTCATTCCATGCGACCATGGAGAGGTAGGATCCGGAGTCTACCTCCATCCGGCATGGCTCGCCCTCAATGCTCACCTCCACGTAGACCTTCCGGGCATCAGTGGTTTCGGCATGGCCGATGGTGACCGTCTGGTGGGTTTCTTCTCTCTGGCGGCCTTCCCCGTTCCGTCGCCCTCGGTTGTCTCGGCTCCAGCGGTTGTCGGCTTGGCGATCTCTGGTCCTCGGGGGGGTGTCGTCTCGTCCCCGGTTGCTTGGTTCTCGCCGGCGGGGGCTGTGTGTCTTTCTGAGTCAGCAGACTCGGGCAATGTGGCCCTTCTTGTTGCAATGCCGGCAGATCGCGTCGATGAACCGGCATTCTGATCGAAGGTGATTTCCCCCGCACCCGGCGCACTGGTTTCCCGACTTACGACCCCGTTGATCTCGCCGGTCCCGTCCTGTCTGTAGCCGGTGGACGTCTTCCTCCTCGTCCGTGGTCTCGGAGGCGGGGTCCAGGTCCCCGTGGTGTGTGGTGGTCTCTCGTCGGCTTGCCTCGGGGGGTTCAGTGCGGTCCCCGTTGTCTGCCCTCCGAAGTCTGGCTGCTGACTTCCGGGTGGCTTCGGCCGCGGAAGCTTCGGCCAGGGCGTCCCCGAGGTCGATGTTGCCTTTTGCCATCAGTCGACTTTTCAGTGCCTGATCCCTGAGGCCTAGGACCACGCGGTCTCGGAGGACATCGTCCAGGTCCCGGAACTCGCACATCCCCCCTAGGTCCCGCAGGGCGGCTATGAAGTCGCTGATGCTCTCGTCCTGCCGCTGGTTTCGCCGGTAGAACTCATCCCGCCGGATGAGGATGGGCACAGCGGGGGCGTAGTGGTTCCGAAGGAGTGGCTCGAGATCGGCCCAGTCCATCGCCTTCACATCCTCGGGCTTCGCGAGGGCTTTGGCCATTTTAAACACTGCGGGCCCGCAGTGTGTGAGGAAAACGGCCCTTTTCTTCTGCCCGTTCGCATCCTTCAAATTGCTACTTTCGAGGAACATTAGGAATCTGTCCGTGTACGATTCCCAGTCCTCGGTAGCTGGGTTGAAGGGTGCTGGTGGGGTCATGCTGGCCATCTTGTCGGTCTTTGTCTTCCTCGGGACACGTGCTCGGTGGTTATTCTCTGGATCCCACCCTCGTCGCCAGTGTCGTGTCCGTCGCGGGAAGGAAGCTCGGAGTCAGTGACTTGGTTTCAGCTCTTTATTGGGCTCCGGTTACAGCTTAAGCTTGGAGGGAAAAACTGCGGCTTTTATTTCCGAGCCGCGGCGGCCGCGGCCAATGGCACCGCTTCGAATCTCCCGCGATTAGTTTCCACCAATCGCGGGGGATTCGTAACGGGCCAATCAGTGCGGCTCGCTCGACCAATCCGGTCGCCGCGCGCTTTAGCCAATCGCGACGCGGGGCTACGAGTATGTAAATTGACTGTACAGAACATTGGGTGAGCCTTGAGCTGGATCACATAAACACAAGGGAGTCCAATAACATCTCCCTTAGCATCTTTCCAGCTTTTTGTGCTACCTCATTTATTGTGTTCCATTTGTTAAAATTTAAAAATAAAAATAAAAATGTGTTGTAAGGGTTTTTCAGAGATGAAATCTAAGCCTCTGCTCAGTGCACAAATCCATTAAACCATCCCAACTTAGTTTTAGTTTCAAAACTAAAATCATCCGTGAGACAAGAGTTCAACTTTTTTTGAAAATCATCCGTGAGACAAGAGTTCAACTTTAGAAGAATGGTTCCTTTGCAACAGAGTTCTTAATGTGGAAAAATTCTTCATAATATTCATTCTGCATCTCCTTTCATTTCAACTCTTGGTCCTCATCCTTCCTTTAAGCAGAGAAAAAGTTCCTCTCTCTGTTTTTCTTTTTCTTTTTATTTATAGAGACCATACTTGGGTAGTGACATTGGGCCAGTCATCAAACTTTTAGCCCTGCCAAGATAATAATGGCAAGCCATTTATCAAAATGTTGCCTAGATAATCAGGGACTTATCCATATAGTTACCAAGAGTCAAAGCTGACTGAATGGAAGGTATGCACACTTACACAGTCTCACATACACACACACACACACACACACAGTTTTTATGTGTCAGTCTTCTCTTTTGTAATCTAAAACTGATCAATTCCTTTAACCATTCCTCATAGGGTAGGTCTCCAAACTCTTTATAATCCTAGCAGTTTTGACATGCAGGCAGCATTTTGACCAGTTATTGTATTGTATGGTTTTAAAAAAAGTGTTTTGTGACCATAGTATGCTCTCAAATTTCAGATGTGCCTGTTGTTTCAAAATACTGGGTGATTTTGGAATAGACAGGGGACATATAATTATGGCTTTCTGACTATATTTGCCTTAAGTGGTGGAATCCTTCCCCTGTGTTGAAAAAGACAAGGATCAATTGATGAGCAAGATTTCCTTCCTATGTCTTGGCAAGAGATATGCAAATAAATTATAAAAAAGGATTTTCTTAAGAAAAAAAATGTGAAGTTAATCATTTTTTCTGACTGATTTAATAACCTATTAAAGGAAACTTCTGAGAGCAATTTCCCATAAACACCATTTAATCTTCTTTTTCTCTCTCTCTGCTTCTCTCTTCTAGGTGGCTTCATCAGTTTCAATGGTTCCTGGCGTGTTCAGGGGATCCTGGCCATGTCTCGTTCTCTTGGGGATTACCCATTGAAAAATCTGAATGTTGTCATCCCTGATCCAGATATCTTGACCTTTGACCTGGACAAACTCCAGCCAGAGTTCATGATCTTAGCTTCTGATGGGCTCTGGGATGCATTTAGTAATGAGGAAGCAGTGCGGTTCATCAGAGAACGATTAGATGAGCCACATTTTGGAGCCAAGAGCATAGTGCTCCAATCTTTTTATAGGGGATGCCCTGACAACATTACAGTCATGGTGGTTAAGTTCAAAAGCAGCAATAGAGCGGAAGACCAGTAAAAAAAAGAGAAAGAAAAAAACGGGGGAGAAAGAGAAATAAAAGTAATACCACGCTCTGCCTCTCACTTGGCAAACTTCTTCATTTAACCTTTACACTTCAACACAGTAGACAGTGGTAGCAAGTATATTAGTATTAAAATTGTACAATCCAAAAATGAGAGTAGAAAAGGCATTCTTTTTGGTAAAACACAGTAAACAATATCAACCATTCAATTTATTTTATTTTATTTTTAAATGAAAAGGATTTTGTACCTTTTATTCTCTAGATCAGGGCTGTCAGACTCCTGGCCTGCAGGCCGGGTGCATCATGCGCTGGCCATGTCCTGCCCGGTTTAGCGAAGGGAAAAAAAGTCCCGATACTTCATGGGATGCCACCATGACACCGCAAGTTTGATACCCCTGCTCTAGATCTCTAATGGTCTCAGCTTAGAAAAATCCTTCAGTTATAAAGGCCTGTGACTCCTGCTTCAAAGATTCCAAATGGCTGCAATTCACTTTGTCTTCACATAACAGCTTAGAATTGTGTTTGGACTTGGGCAGCTGAGACACGATAGGAACAGCTCACTGCTTGGAACCAGTTGATAAAACTGACATGGGATTTGCCAGTGTGACTATCCATTCTCACATCCTCTCATTCATACCGCTACATCTGCTTAGTTAAACTGCAGAAAGAACAAAAATGGGTAGCTAACAGTTTCATAAGAAGGAGGTACCAATGGGTCCATAACAGATAACTACTGTTCCTTTCCGTTGGTATATTTCCTGCTATATCGTTAGCATTAAACAATTAAGCTTTTCCATTGCTATGTTTCTAAGGTTTGTGTGCATGCCTTTGTTTCTTAAAAAAAAAAACCAATTAGCAGCAGATAGCTTTTAAGATCCATGCTCATTGAAAAATATCCCCTTTCTAAATTTTTGTTTCTGAATGAGCTGAATTAATTCTTTTTTCTAGTTTGGAGCCATAACTTGTGTAGTTCAGACATCAAAAACAGTTGTTAAGACCATGGTATAAATATGTGTCTTTAAGCTTAGAAGATTCTGATATAAGACATTAGTATTTCTAAACTTGTATTTAAGGGATAAAGCTAGCATATTAATGAATCAGCAAGCAAACTGAAATAGGAACTTAGTGCCAAACTCTTGGAAAATACAGGTAGAGTATTTTTTTCTTTTTTCATTAGCAGTGAAGCTTCGTTCCAAAACAGAAGATTGGCAAGCAAGTTTTACGTTTTAAATATTTAATGATGTAAATCATCAAAAGCCAACCCTAGCAGTAAGTGTTACCTGCATATAGCTTCAGTTTGAAATCTGTGGAGTTTGGTATGAGCTAACTGCTTAATTCTAGTGTGCCTATAATCTGTGTGTGTCATTACCAACTTTCTGCAGATTGATAGCTCCAGATGTGTTGGGCTGCAGTTTCCATAGTTTCGACATCTGCAGTTTCCATAGTTTCAACATTTGGGAACTATTGGGAACTTTGGGTAACAAGGTAGACTTTGTTGTAATCACTGATGATATCTGACCTTGAACTATTTGCTGCATCATTCTAATTGTAGCTTCTTTCTATCATGCAAATAAGGAAGCAGGATCAGGCATTCTGATTTACAGGCTGTAATTTAGAATCAAAACTATGGAAATGTGAGTCAAATCCTCCATTAGATTGCTACAAAGATGTTAGAGTATAGCTTCTCTGTTCTAATTAAGGTGCTCTAATTAATTGGACATTGCCAGGATTAATAATTTGTGAAGTGCTATTTAATCATCGTATTTCATTCTCCATTGGTATATATAGATTCTCCTGAACAATTAACTCAAGCAGCAACAGGGAAGGTGCCATATAGTCCATATAGTCTGAAGTAATTGAGTAACTAGAAATTAATACAATGGATTAAGACAGGGGTGGACAACTGTGGCCCTTTTATGCCTTGTAAAGCATGGCTACTTCAAGAATTCTGAGAGTTAAGGCCACAGGTCATAGTGGGGCCATAATTGTCCACCCTTGGATTAAGATATACCAAGTGTGCATTAGTTACTTCTGATGTCTTTATTTCTTGCCTTTGTTATGTCTTCTTAGAGATAGATTCTCAAAACATTGCTAGTTTTGATTGAATGATTACATATTATCAAGTTGATATTTACTCTTGCAGACAACATAGATAGATTTCCTCCATGATATCTGCCCCTAACCTGGTCCTTCAGCTCTTCCACCGGGACACTCATTGCTAGTTGCTGTTTATCCTCTTCTTTTTCCTTCCGTGCTTCAAGCATTAAAACCTTTTTAAAGAGCTAGATGTTTGCATAATGTCTAAAATGGGTTTGTTAGTTTTAGCTTTAGATTATTTGGATGATGAAAGAAAAATAAAAAGATGCTTCCCCAATCTTTATGTTACATTCTTGTACAAAATTGAAGAGGCATCTTTAATTCAAAGACCTATTTTTTAAAAATCAAAAATAAAACTATAAACTAACGCACTAGAGTAATTAAATATGGTTATACTGCAAAATTTAAATACTAAATCAAAAAGCTTCCATTTTAATATTTTACCTAATTATTTGCCTAATTACAAATAAAAATAATAATCTTGTTTTACCTGGTTAATAGGAGATGCATGTCCAAATTCTTACCTGGTTGTCATCTGGGAACAGTTAATTTAGGCACAGTATTAGCTGCAGTTCTTTTGAGGGCCTTAACTAAATAGTTTCTCCCACCTCTTTGACATTATAACTGAGCCTTAGAGCCCTAAATGAGATTATTGAAAACCTATTCCTAATACCTATTTATATTCTTGATCTGCACACCCCCACCCATCACTATTGAAAGCTATCAAACAATGTTGATTTTTCATTAGATCCATCACTTTTGTGATAGGTACTGATATTTTACATGTGTTAAAGTAGCACTAGAAGGATTGGGGGACATTGCTATAACTAGACATCTTGGAAATATGTTAGACCTGTTAATATGTGGAATATAGGCGATGTCTACAGGCTGTAATTTAGAATCAAAACTATAGAAATGTGAATCAAAATGAGCAACGTCAAGCAACAGTTAATGGAGTGTTGCCACTCATCTCCAAAAACCTACTTACTATATTTTTCCATGTATAAGATGATACTTTTTCTTAAAAATATTTACCTAAAAATGGAGAGGTGCCTTATCCACCGGGAGGTGGGGGGAGGGGGGCAAGGGAAGAACTGTGGTTGCTAAACCACCAATACCTTATCTCTGCAAACTAGCCTCACAAGTGAAACTTCTGATTGCTTAAAATATTGATTTCTGAATTTTGAGTAAGAAAAGGGGAAGATCCTATATGGGGGCGACTTATAGACAGAAAAATATGGTACTTCAGAATAAACCGTACTGAATTCAGTAGACTTCAGGAGATATGCCTAGGATTGCACTGCTAGCATATTAATATCAGAATTTTGCCAGCAGACTAATATCAGTATTAGAAAAAAATGACTGAAATGTACTTCCTATTCTAGTGTTGTTTCTTGTTCAGAACATTAATACAGATACAGATAATCAGAGTTGGAAGGGACCTTGTAGGTCATCTAGTCCAACCCCCCGCCCAAGCGGGAGACCCTACACCATTTCTGACAAATGGCAGTCCAATCTCTTCTTGAAAGTCTCAACTGATGGCGCTCCCTCAACTTCCGAGGGCAAGCTGTTCCATTGGTTGATTGTTCTCACTGTCAGAAAGTTTCTCCTTGTTTCCAGGTTAAATCTCTCCTTGTTCAGTTTCCATCCATTACTCCTTGTCTGGCTTACAGGAGCTTTAGAAAATAGCTTGACCCCTTCCTCCCTGTGGCAGCCCCTCAAATATTGGAAGACCGCTATCATGTCTCCCCTGGTCCTTCTCTTTACTAGACTAGCCAAGCCCAGTTCCTGCAACCGTTCGTTGTATGTTTTAGCCTCCAGTCCCCTAATCATCCTGGTTGCTCTTCTCTGTACTTTTTCTAGAGTCTCAACATCTTTTTTATAATGTGGTGACCAAAACTGGATGCAGTACTCCAGGTGTGGTCTTACTAAGGCTTTATAGAGTGGTATTAGTACTTCCCTTGATCTTGACTGTATCCCTCTGTTAATACAATTTAGGATTGCATTAGCTTTTTTGGCGGCGGCTGCACACTGCTGGCTCATATTTAGCTGGTTGTCCACGAAGACTCCAAGATCCTTCTCACAGCTATTGAGCCTGGTTTCACCCAGTCTATATGTGTACTTTTGGTTTTTCTTGCCTAAGTGTAGGACTTTACTTTTCTCTATATTGAATTTAATTTTATTAGATATGGCCCAGTGTTCTAGTTTGTCAAGATCCATCTGGATCTTGAGCCTATCTTCTTGGGTGTTAGCTATTCCTGCCAGCTTAGTATCATCATTGAAGCATGTGAGTAGCTTTCCCATATTTTTTTTTATAGTCTGGAATAAATGGTTTAATTGTGTTATAGAGATACAGCATTGCTGTGAAATATAATCATGGTAAAAACACATGTAAATGGAACTGGCAAATGTATTCATTTGCAGTCTGTTGAAAGCTGTTTTTAACGTCTGAGGAAGAGAAAAATCATTGTTAACAGGAAAATAGCTGTAAACAATTAGAGAGTACAAATTATATTCAGTCAAGTGTTTAAAAAGGCTACATTTGGCTAGTCATCTAGTCAATGAAGGGCAAAAATATGTATGCTGCGCAAAAGGCAATTAGTGGCATCATTCAAATATTTACAGTATAGACATTTGCAGTCTTCCCCTGGAGAAAAGTTCCTGCTTAACAAGAAAGCAGGCTGAGATAATAGATTTAACCTGAGATGTAGTATCTCTGTTGAAGCAAAATGGTCATACCTGTTTCATATATAGACCATATTTCAAAACTCCGCTTGTTTACAAACTCAGAATATTAAATCAGGCATAGTAAAAATAAGAAATATGCTTAACACTATTGATGCTTTGGATTCCGAGATACCTTGCACGAACGAAAAAAAGTTCATCAGCAAATTCTTTGAATTTCGCTCTGGTGCCATGGCATAATGCCAAAGGTTATGTTGGCCTGCAGGAATGCTTTTGTAAAAAGAATAGGTACAAAGGATTGGAGGAGGAGGAGGAACAACCAGGAAGCTTCCATTGCCCAATTCTGCAGAATCTTCACTGAATTTGACCTGCTGAATACCATTCAATGATTATTAGACATTATAATACCATTATAATGTATAAACAATATACATCATTAAACAATTAAATGATTATTTAGCCCAGACATGAGTGCCCTGCAG